GAGAGGCATTCAAACATCCAGACCCAAGAAATACAAAGGACCCCACCTAGAAGAAACCCAAGAAGATCTTTTCCAAGGCACATCATCTCCAGATTGACCAAAACCACAAAGACAAGATTCTAAAACTGGCAAGAGAGAAACACCAAGTTACTTGCAAAGGATATACCATCATGCTAATGTTGGACCTTTCATCAGAAACAATGTGAGCAAGGAAAGAATGGGAAGATATATTCAAAATGTTCAGTGAAAAACAATTTCAACCGAGAATTCTATACCTGGCAAGATTATCCTTCATACGGGAAGAAAAGACAAAAACATTCTCGGATAAACAAAACCTGAAAGAATTTACTAACACCAATCCAGCTCTCCAAGAAGTTCTGAAGGGAATACTATAGCAGGAAAACTAAAAACAGACACACAGAAACAAGAGTCCAAAAACAAACCAAGAAAATGGCCAACTTAATGGTAGAGATAAGTTTAGAACTGAATGTTAACCTCCAGAACTCAAATGGAAAGATAAGACCACAACAGGAGATTAATTACCTGAGAGTGAAGTGGTGAAATAGAATTTATGACTTTTGACTAAAATATGATTGATTTTCTCCTATGCTTTGTTTTCCAGATTTAAGATTTTTTTGTCTTGTCTTGAACTGGTGTTAGGTTCGTCTACCTACTATTTGAATAAAATCCTAACCTTGTTCCTGGCTTTAAGTCTTAAGCAAATTTCTCTTAACATTTTGTGATTTTAATTTATTAAAACTAAAACTGCTTTTCTTGAAATTAAAAAATACATTAAAAAAAAAACCCTATTTAAGGACCACAGTAAGCTATACAGCCTTAGCTCAGTGCTACTTTATGGTACTTTATGGTTCCTTCTACTTTATGCCTAAAGTCAGATGTGTTCACAAATACATATGTATCAGCTGAACTTGCTATTTAAAGTATTTAATTTTTGTTCATCAATAAAATGTAAAAAAATTTTATAGTTTTAGTACATATATTTAGATTTAGGTCCATTTCCCAATTTTAAGTCAGTTTTTCAAGGGATCTGAGTAAAGGTTTGAGGTTTTTCCTTTCTCTTCCTTCCATTCTCTCTCCCCATTCTGTATTTATGGGTATCTAAGTGTTTTAACATCACTTATTGACTGTTCTGCTATTCTGGTATATTAGATTTGTACGTTTCCCTACTCCATGCTCACAAGAGGACTGCAGCTGTTCTAGACATTGCATCTACAACAATATCCAGAAGAAACTATCTCTTTCATCCAGGAAATCTTTTTTTCATCTAGACTTGACACATACCCATTGCTTATTGTCTAAAGCAGTAACAGGAAAAGGATCACTATTATTCATTTATTCATTCAACAAGAAAATGTTATGTTTTTAATATCCACTTTGGAACCAGGGATTATGTAGTGTCTAAAACAGGCAAACATGTTGCCTGCTCTCATAAAGTATACAATTTCATGGGGAAGACTGTTCTTCTATTGTCTAAATAAATAAGTGAACTGTATTATACTATCTTACTCTGATTTTCATTTCTATAATAGGATACCTGAGACCTGGGCGATTTACAAAGAAAAGAGGTTTACTGGCTCACGATTCTAGTGGCTGGAAAGTCCAAGCACATGCTGCTTGTGCCAGGATGGCTTCTGATGCTACATCATAACATAGCCATGAGAAATGAAAGGCCAATGGGACCAGCAGTTAGCTAATGGCTATAGTGCTGGACTCCCATGTAGTCGACTGCACTTTGAGTCCTGGACCCGGTGGCTTGAAACTTTTGCCAGGTACGTGTGCTTGCATGCCCAAGATCCCAAGAGGAGAATGGAAGAGAAGGGATTGCAGCATGGCCATCCTCCATGGGGGATGATTTCTTGCTTTCTGTCTCTCTGTCTCTCTCTGTCTGGTGAGTGCACGCGCCCTATAGCAAAAACCTCTCCAAAAAAAAAGAAAAAGAAATGAAAGGCCAATAGGCCCATGTAAACAGAGACTTGTGACTGGCCAGCCTTACTTTTTAACAACATTTCTGAGATAGGAATTCAGTAAGAATTTACTCTTCCTGGCAATGGCATTAACCTATTCATGAACAATCCACTAGTATGTCACACCCATCTCCTACTAGGCCCACCTCCCAACCCTGTTGCATTGAGTGTCAATTTACACCATGAGTTACATACACTCAAACCACAGTAAATATGTGGCCATTTAGCAGCAAGCATTAGATGGAAAAAAGGAAAGGGGATTATGAAGTATTGTGATGGGTTGATACAGTAGTTAGGAAGAGTCTCACTGAGTTGACTTTAGAATAAAGACCTGAAGAAAGTGGTAAAGTGGGTCACTGAAGAGAAGTCCAGGTAAAAGGAAAAGTACAAAGAGAACCAGAAGGAGGCCTTTGTGGATATGGAAGAGGTTCAGAGCTGGTAGATCATTGTAGTAAATTGTTCTCACCAGAGGCATTTATCATCATAACTTGGTGGAGAGAAAGTACAAGGAAAGCCAGTGTTGCTGCTAAATAACCTATAATGCACTGGACAGTCTACTTCTCTACTCTCTTTTTCTGACCTCACTCCTACAACAATGAATTATCCAGCCAGAATATCAACAGTGGTGAAACCCTATTCAGAATCCCTATTTCACGTCATAGTACGGGCCGACTTATACTGAGTAAATTAGAATAATATTGAAACGTTCTGGGCTCAGGAACTATTTAAGCTTTTAAAGGATCACTTGACCATTTTTTGTGAACAGTCTCAAGGGGCAGAAGATAGAAAATAGGGATAGCATTTAGAAGAGTACTATAATTATCTAGACAAGAGACTACCAGGATGATGCCAGTAGTGATGGTAAGTGGTGGACTACAGATATATTCTCAAGATTGAGCTGACAATTAACTAACACACTGGACATATGCATATGAAAAAAAGGAACCAAGGATGAGTAATCTGTTGTGGTTGGTCTTGGAGCTGCATCTTCCCAAAGAAAGTGACCTGATTAAGTGGCAGAAATCAGAACAAACCTGGAATGGGAGAAAGAATACCCCATATGGATATTAGAATAACAACCAATCACATTCATCATATAAATATCTAATGGAAATAAAAATGAGGATTAGTTTATGGTTGACCACTTTACAGGGCATACTTATTCCATAGACTGTTATATAATGCCCTTTTTTAAAAAAAAATTCACAGTACTGTTTTTTAAGGAATGTCTTTTCATCCCATCTTTCATTGTGGTGATAGTTTGATATATATGGGAAGTCAAAAATCTCTATCTCATCCCAGTCACTAAAGGGCTCAGCTTTTCCTTTCAGCATTTGTACCCCAAGCAATTATTGATTGTTCTTATGTGTAATACTGATGTATTTATTTTCTGAGCATTCGCTTTGTCAACTGTAAAACATAATAGGTTCACTATGAGTCCTTATATGTTAGAAAATAATATATTTCACTCTTATCATCATCATAACCTTACAACCTGATAACTAGGGTTATTTCCATTCTGCAGATGAATAAATTAAAGTTTATTCATAATTGAAGCTTAGTAATTAGATTTCACAAAGACTAACTCAGTGGGCCGTTTCCGTGGGGCTTCTGGTAACAGTGAACAGCAGTGCTGGAAGCCATATAGCCCATATCAGTTTGGATCTGAAGTCAACTTGAAACACACAGGGTGCGCCCAATATCCGGGCAAGCTGTGGGCTATGGGAAAGGGGTATGAGGAGACCCTGCCCAGAGTGTCTGTCACCCCCTTCCTCCCTTGCTCTCATGAATATAACAAAAATTATCCAGTAGAAAAAGGGCAGAACTTTGTCCTGAGCCAATATGTGTTTGCAGCTTTAAGGTAGTGTTCCAGGCCCTCCTACTCACATCAGCTTCATTCCAGAGGGCTTGTTTAGTATGACTAGATGGTGACTTCGAGAGGACTCGCCTATTAATTCAAACCTTTTTTTTTTTTTTTGGAGAGGTTTTTGCTATAGGGCACGTGCGCTCACCAGACAGAGACAGAAAGCGAGAAATCACCCCGGGGGTGGGGGTGGGTGGTCACACCACAATCCCTTCTCCTCCATTCTCCTCTCGGGATCTTGGGCATGCACGCACAGGCGCCCAGCGTGACTTTTAAGCCACCGGGTCCGGGACACGAACCATGGTCGACTACGTGGGAGTCCAGCGACATAGCCATTACGCTAACTGCTAGGTCCCTCAAACCACTTGATACTACGATCATAGTACAGAAGACCTAAATTTATTATATTATTATTATTTTTAATTTGACCAAAGAGAGACAGAAAACAAGCCGCCGATCCAGGACTTGAACCATCGTGGTCCACCAAGTGGGAGTCCAACGCCTTAACCACTATACCACCTGCTGGTCATTAATTAGGTCTTTCTTAATCCTATAAATCTAAGCAGTTCCTCTTATACATTTCCTCTAAAAGGAATTGCTTTTTGCCTTTTATAAAAATGTTGGTGCTCTTCAGTAACCCCTTTAAAATCTTGTTTAGAATCATTTTGTTTAAAAATTGCACTTCAATTAGAAAATTTGGTGGGAGAATTTGTATTAGAAACATGTAAAAGATGTGTATATTTAAACACATCCCCAGCTGTGAATTAATTGGGGGGATAATGTTTCCTGACCCGCCCTGGTGCCGAGAACTTGGCCTGGCGGGTTCCGAGGGCCGGCTCGGCTCAGGGCCCGCCTCCCCGCGGGATTGGAGCGACGGCCCGGCCCGGCCCCC